TTTTTTTATTTTTTATTTTTATTTTTATTTTTATTCAGACTTTACCCTCTTCAACTTGTACCAATGAATGTTCCTAAAAAGCAGCTGAAATTCAAATGAATGGAAACCATCTATTTGACCATTAGTTGATTAACAAAAGTGAATTTTGACAAAATTAAAATGGGTAAAATAGTAACTTTAAAATTACCACATTAAACAAATAAACCAAAAAAATAAGAAAAAAAAATTTTAAAAAACGGGTTGTCTCCTTCTCATCACCCCATTCCACCACACTCTCCCCTAAAATCAACCACTAGCATCACCACGCACCATCAGCATAACATCCCCGATGACTAGGGAGTTGGATTAGTGGCTGCTTGGCTGCTAGGAATTGGAATTCCCCCAAGTGAATTTGTAAATGGGAAAATTGCAGCAGCACAAGATCGGGATTCGAATTTTGATAGGCTGCATCGATTGCTTGTCCCCACTTTTTGTTGAAATACTATCATCAAATTAGACTCCTAGATTGAAGGAGTCGACCAGTGATAGTGCGTGACGGTGGGTGTGATCGGACAAGTTGTCGGCAGCTTTTGAATTCACGAGTGGGGGGTTATTGGTGGTTATTCCAATGACATTTGGTCAAGTTAGGGTTGGTGGTTCGGTAGGATGTGTAGAGGGAAATGAAGAGGTTTTCGGTGAAGTGTGGGTCCGATGTTTTAGGGGTTGGTGCCGGCGATGCTGATGTAAGGATGTCAACAAGTTGAGTCGAGCCGACTCGCGAGCCAAAATTTTTGCCTTGGGCTTGGTTCGAGCTTTTTTAAGGCTGGCTTTTTTTGGCCCGATTTTTGCTTGATAGAAAATTAAGGCTCGACCCAAGCTTTCGGCTCGGGCTTTACCAAGCCGAGCGAGGCCGAGCTCAATTTCTAGATTTTTTTTATTTTTTATATATATACCTCTTGCTGCCAACCAGCAGTAGATTTGCTGTCGGTTGGTAGCTTGATATAGCTGCCTTAACCGGTTAAGGTAGCTATATGCTGCCTGTAACCAGTTAAGGCAGTTATAGCTGCCAAACAGGCAGCATATTTTTCCTCTTTTTTTTTTTTAATAATACTGGTCGGCCCTGCTCGAGCCAACTCTTAAAAATGAGGCTCGCCCGAGCTTTGGCTCGGTGCCTCCTAGCCTCGAGCCGAGCAGGGTCGAGCTTTTTTTTAGCCGAGCTACGAGCAATTCCAGTCGATGAGTCCGATTGACATCCCTATGCTGATGGTATTATTTCTTCTCTCTCTTTTTTATTTTGTTTTGTTTTATTTCTATTTTTTAAATTATTTTATGTATAAAATAGCAAAGTTACCATTTTACCCATTTCTAAGGAATATGATAAACAATAAAAACCTTAGTTTTTCAAATATATTCGAATAATTTAACTTTTAAAAATAAATTAATTAATTAAAAAATTTAATAATTATGTTATTGTCTCACTTTAATAAATGAGAGCAATAAAATGAATTTAAAAAATTAAACAGGCATGTAAACGAGGTAAAGTCTTGACTCGCCCCGCCTCGCCTTAAACGGGTAATGGGGCGGGTACGGTGCGAAAAATTGCCTGATGTGGCGAGGGCCGAGGGGCACGGGAACCCATCCCGACTCAAACCCGCCTCATTACCGTTCCCCACTCTATTGCCATCCCTATCTAATACAAATATTCTTCTATATAATTATGACATTGGTCCCCTAAAACTTATGGTTAGTTTCCAGTTACCTTAATTTTATTTCCTTTTTGCAAATATATTTTCTTTTCCTTTGCTTCATTGTGCCAAACAAATAAAAATGACACTGAAGCCCTTTTCTTTTTCACAATTTCATAATTCTTGGCTGCCACATTAAAATTTTCTCCGGAGCTTTGTTCTTATTTATAACCATGGTCCCTCAATTTTGATGATTAATTTCCTTTGCCCATTAGTTATTTTATTTTCTAATTTGATTATCCATGATCACATTCTTTACTAGGAGGTTCCATCATTCTTCTATTAGTTGTAGTACACGAAAACAAATTCAAAGACTCATCAAATCTAACTTTACAATTTGATTTCTTCGTATTATAATCTCCAGTTTTCTCATCGTTGACCATAGAAATCATCTCAAATATTTTGTGTTGGCGTAATTAAGGATATTCAATTTATTGAGTTCTAATAATATATAGATGAGTACATTTATTTCCACATCGCTTATAAATCGACAAAGCCAAGCAACATAGTTATTACCCATTAAAAAAAAAATTGAAATTTATTAAGCTGGAACTTTCAATGTGAAAAATGGAGAATCTTCCAACTTTTGGGAGGCTCCATCAGCACTGCATACTTGGATTATGAATTTCAGACTAGAAGTACCAGAAGGAACTACTAGATCAGAAATGTAGAAGGATTCCACTTCTGCCACTCCAAGATACTCCTGATCGGCCCCTTCAAGAATTTCATTCGGATTTCCAGACACACTTTTTAGCTTCTCAACATATATATTGTAGTTGGAGAAAGGATCAGTATTACCTTCTTTCAATTGCCAAATAATCTTAATACTAAGGTTTTTCGTCCCTTGAGGACCTGAAGCGAATTGAACGTATTGACCATCAACAATCCATGATGTAGATGGTGGAAAATCCGTATTCGCTGCAGATGTGTAGACCTTGATATGACCTAGTACTGCATAATATTCTGATGGATTACGAGATGGTGTCTTATCTTTCATGACGACTTCAGATTTTTCTAGCCTCGATTGGTAGCATATGGCCCGAATTTCTCTTAATGTGTATCCATCCATTTCAATACTGCTTTCTTGTATAACCCACCCGGCCTCTGTCTCCAGCTTGGTGACTCGACGTGGCATTATCACACTAGAAAAATGTTTAGAGAACCGGTTCATGGTGAGAAGGGTATTTCCCGAGGATGCAAGAAATACTGACTTTTTCTCATTCTTGGCAGAAAAGAACTCGAGAGCAAAACCGAGCAGAGAGTTCCCACTTGATTTAACCTGCATAAGTTAATACAAATCATTGTTTCATCTAAAAAAAGATATTTTCATTCATCAACAGTACATAAAAGACATCAAAAGGGTTAGATATATTAAGCTTTGAAGTGTCCCCGAAACACAGAATTTTATTTCAAATAAGAATCTGTATACCTAAATCTAATTGACAAGTGAATGCTTACAGAATAAGTTACGTAAACCGGTGAATTCCCCAAAAGGATCTCTCCTTGAAAGAGGCGTGCAGTGAAAGTATCAGCCCCAAGAGTTCCTATAAATTTGATGATTCCTCCTCCGCTATAAGATGCATCTTTAAAACTACCATTTGCAAACATGCTAAACTCAGTGCAATATACAATCGCAAAAGAGAAATCAAAAAATGAATATGCAGTGCTACAGACAGCTAAAATAAGAAAATTCATTACCGATGCCAGTGCCACAGCTCTAACCTCTACTGACTCACTCCTAATAAATGAGTTGTAGCATTGATACGGGAAATAAAATTTTGAATGTGCAGTGAAAAGGACAGCTAAAATAGAAAATTCATAACCGATGCCACATCTCTAGCCAATCTTCACTTACTCCTAATGAATGAAATGTAACATTTATTCAGAATTTTGATTATGCATGGGTAATCACAAAGAGGTTGAGCAGAACAACATTATAGATAGGGTTCACAATGCTTGTAGTTTCAATGCAGGAAAATGCCCCATGAGGACTGGAAGAATTTGCTTTTCATTTTTATATACAAGGGAATGGAGGAAAAAAATTTATTCCTAAGAACCTTCTATGTTGGGAGTTTAAAATGGATTATAGAGGGAAAAGTACCATGCTCAAACGTAAACAGAAATGCTTCTAACATTCGATGATTATATATATGACCAAATCATGTTTAGAATAAAATATGACAACTTGAATTATCACTAATATGTTCAAGAACAGAAATGAAGACTAAAATGATATTTATGTCCAAAGCAACTTACTCGACAACCACTTGGATAGGCTGAGCGGTAGGGTCTTCAGGATATTCAATAAAAGGCTGTAATAAGACGCACAAGTAAGGAGAATGGAAATCAATCCAAAAAAAGAGGACATTAACGACATAAAAACTACATCTCCCTGGAGAAATACCTGAAAGCTTTGGGAAGAAATATTGTTCCAAGGAGTGTCCGAGACTAGCTTCCCTTCAATATAAATATGGTAACCATGACCCTGAGAGATAATAAAGTTATGGATCTACATTGTAGTGAAGAGATTCAATTGCAGTTGTCCCAAAACCTCTTGGATCTTATCAATACCAAATACTAACAAATTATTTAGGATTAGGCAATAATATGCCCTTGTTACTTTTTCATCAAATTATCTCATGCATCACCCATTTCTCTGGGGATTAAGTAAAAAAGGGTGGAAGTATATATAAAATGTTCTTGCTAGCGAATGATTCTTCTCTATTTTTCTGAATATGCTTCAGCAGCATATATAAAATCAAGCTTCGAAGTTTACTTCTAATAGAGCCTAACTGGGATTTAAGGACCAAATTTGTTAAATTGTCATTTGAAAACCAGTGAAAATCAGACAAGCAAGCCAACAGATGGTTTACTGCTAAGAGAATGAACAGATGAAAAAGGAAGAAATAACATATAAAGAACACATACATGACTATACCTGATCAAAATTTGAGTAGAAGGGAAGTATCCTGGGATAGTTTTGTACAATCCCCCACGATTTCTCCACAAGTCCCCACCAGCTGTGCATTAGGATCCATCAAGTTGAACACACCAGATGTATCAGCAACAGCTAAAATGGAAAGAATATGAGTTCCAAAGGCAATATAAGAAAAGACAAGTGCTTTACCGATTTTGAGCTGTTTGAAAATCAGGTGGTTGCTTAGTCTCATATAACCATCCAGGAGCAAATATGGCCGCTGAGACTTCATCTTTCTTTATCACGTCAAGGGCAACATTTGTCTGTGCAAAGAAGATGATTACATTTTCATGAATGTCTGCAACTTTTACACAGCTAAGCATACAAAACCAATAGAACTTTGTGAAAGGGTTTCTGTAGCTGATTATTGAAGGTATGCAAGTGAAAACCTAATTGACACCCAAGAATTCATTTTCATGATATCCCAAAGTCTAATCCTCGGATTTGAACATTACAGAGTATGCCTAATGAGCTGTCAATTTATTTTGAATAATTAACTCAGAAAGGACACATTAACTATGGTAGTTCTTTTTTCTGTAAATAAACAAAACAAATTACATTTGAAGTCATTAAACTTTATTCAGTGAGAAAAGACTATCATTTAAACACCTAAACGTGATCCTTAAAACATATTTTGATTTCTCAGATCTCCAGGCATCATAGAACATGATAAGACTCGTAATTGATTGAATCTGTAAATGCTTCAAAGTTTAGAATAGTGAATTGCTAGAAAGAAGCTGGTTAATACTTACCTATTTCATTTCCCTATTATCTTAAAATAGAACCAACAAACTGAACCACTTCACGCCCGCGCGCGCGCGCGCACACACAAAATGGTAAAGAAACGGCTTTCAATGCTTCAAATAAGCACTTAATATGAGGTTAGATTAGTGCTTAGAAAAGACGAAATTTTATCACCAAAAAGCCATAACAAAATCTAAAGTTAATAATTATTTCCCCATGGCCATGGTTAAGGCATTGAAACCTACAGTCCATTGTCCACCACCATAAGTACCCCTTCCAAAAACATCAATGCCCATGTAGACGTCAAATTTTCTGTCACCGGCAACATCAGCTGATGACTTTGGATAATCTTTCTGCATCATATGTAAGAGAAATCTTAAGGATAAAACCAAATAGTTCAAAGCCAAATGCACTTTTGCAAATAAAGATAAAGAATTACCTTCCATGAATAGTTCACAAAAATGCCATCGCATATGTCAAAGAAGGGCTTGTTTTTGTCATTTAATTGGTCTTGCCAGCTAAGATCACCATCAATGGTAACACTGTCATACCTACACCATCACCATTAAAGCATTTAATTGTATACATCATAAGAACGTTCTTATAATTGGATCGTTGCGATCAGGTTGAATGTCTACTTTTCACGGAGAAGAGGACGAGTCAAATCATTCATCTAATGCAAGAGCAATTTATAAGAGCGAATTCGAGGGGGGGAAAACTATGGCACATAGGATCCAATCAATCCAATTCGAAGTAGGCAACAAACTAGGAATATTTGAAAGAATATTTTAATTTATTCTGTTAAGTTGGCATACCATATAACTGTAGATCCAGGTACTGATGAGTGCATGGTCTGGCTTAAATGGCTTACAAATTCTTTCAGGTTAGGGATTTGCTTAGGATCCAAAGTGACTTCCATATTGATCTGTCAATACGAAAGAAATCCTATTTGTAAAAAGAAATAAACTAAGGAAACATCAATTTGTGTCACTCTGAAAAGGAACAATGACGTAAAAAACCAATTGTTATTTTCTTTAATTATCCCATAGTCTGTGAAGTCATTAGAAAATAGTAGTGAAGCTAAGATCCATTTAATTACATAGAAAAGAAGCTGGTTGCTATGCAGATTCAGTACAACTAAAATGCATGGATTTGCACTAGCTCATAGTAGAATTAATGTAGTCATGTGCCGGAAAGGATATCGGACAGAACTCTTTTTAATTTTGAATCTATCTTCCTTTCATGTAAGCAAAACAGGAAATCCCAACCAACCCAAATCAGTTTAACCTATAAACATCAAATTCTTAGACAGGGATCTACACGAGTAAACCATTCCCTGGAAAATCAATATGCCAATAAAGAACTCGGATTCAGTTTGGGAGAATTTCAAATCAGGCTTGACTATTGTAACGTAAAAAAAACATTCGAGAATGGAGATTGCAAGTCAAAAAATAGAAGTTTACCAGCCATCCATCAAAGTCCAAAGCGACAGCAAGCTCTGTCAACCGCTCAGCGTACATGTGAGCAGACTCCTTTGTCAATAGCAGTTTTTCAGCAAGTTTTTTGCCTTCATCCCATTCCATGATGAAAGTTCCCAATACCTTAAATACGCAATGATCTAATCAAATACATGAATATGAAGAAAACCAAAAACATAGCCACTCAAACCCATCCATACATAATTAAAACTACTCATGTGAAGTAAAAGATTCGTACTAAAACTCAAAAAGAGTACGAGAAAAAGTCCTGCCAAGCAAAATTAATTATGGTTTTCCAAGACAAAATAAAGTTAAATTTTATCACCACGTAATCATCAGCCATGGTAAACTTTTGAAAATCAACTCAACATACACCATCATAGAGGGCCTAAAAGAAAAAGGAAACCAAATTATGAGCTGTGAGAATACAATTAAAAATATCATACCTTTATACCATGTTTGTGAGCAGTATTGGTCCAGCAAGGAGGCGGCAAAGTCACCAAATTATGCGAAAAATAAACAAAAATATCAATTAAATACCAATGCCAAATCGCGTAAGCATCAGCATTCACCCCACCTTGCACAAATTTATCATCAGTATACCCTCCCGCCATGTCATGGCACACCAAAATCCGTTGCCTCTTAGGCAAATCCCCCTTCAGCTTCACAGTAGACTTGTTGAAAGGGTAATGGAACGATTTGAAGTAAGCCCGCGATTCCAATTCCTCAAGTGTTTTCAGGGGATACGAAATTGGAACAGCCGGTACTAAAGGATCGAACGGCGGCGGAGTATCACTTACTCCGGCGGATGGATTGGATTCTTCCATTGATTTGGAGAAGAACGAATGGAGATTTTTTAGGATGGAGAAGAATTTGGGGGAGTTTGTTTTTATATAAGCAAGAAGTGACATTGGAAATTGCGAAGAAAAAAGAATCCATGGAAGTTGACTCAACAAGTTAAGGAGTCTCTGCATTTACATGGCGATGGACATTGTGAATCACAAGTTTTGTGACTTTTGTCGGGTTTTTTTTTTTTTTTTTTCTCTCTCTCTCTCTATTATTAACATTCATTTATTTGAGAAATTAAAAAATTTTGAATACTATTTTTTTTGAAAATATATGATTCAAAAATAAAGAAATTTATTAATTTGTGTGTATAATATTTTATAGTGTAAATGTGTGATAAAGAATGACAACATTAGAAAACAATATAAAATTTTAAACTAGTCCAATCAAGCACTAAATAATAATGCTATTTAGACCATGTTTGTATCCTTTAAAAATTTAAATTTTTTGTTACAGTGTCATTCTCTATCATATTCAAACAATAAAATATTATACATATAAATCAATAAAATTTATTTACTTTTTAATGATGTATTCTCCAAAATAGATATATTAAGGCCTTGTTTGAGCCACATTGTTTGAAAAAAATAAAATTTTCAGCAGTGATTTGACATTATTTCAACCACACATTATTTAATAAAATAATATTAAAATAATATTACCCGTAAATTCAAAATATTTCCTTATTTTTTAACCACATATTTTTCATCAATATATTATTCAAAAATACATTTTCATTCCAATAATGTGGTTCAAACAAGGGCTAAATAAATAAATAAGGGTGTGTTTGATTACATTTATTTTCCATGGAAAATATCAGTTTTCCATCCAAATTTCTACTTGGAGTGTTTGATTGTTATTTTTTTCCATGGAAAATATTTTCCAACTTTTGAAAATATGCCTAATTTTCCTTGTTTTTAAGGAAAATATTTTCCTTGGGTAGAGGTGGTTTTTATTTTCCACAAAAGATGGAAAATATTTTCTTTTCTAGGTGATATTTTTCATATCAATCAAACACACTCTAATTGAAATATTGGTCATGATATTATTTAGCCCCTGTTTAACTCTCTTTATTACAAAATTTTATATTTTTTTAATTATTTCAACCACGCATTCACGCATTAAAATATTTTTCACATAAATTAATAACTTTTTTCATACTTTTTAACCACAAATTTTTCAAAAATCATTATTCAAAACATCATTTTCCCCTCATTTCATTTTATAATGGTCACTAAACATGGGCTTAATATGTACAATGTATTACCATGCACACCAAACTCTCAAGTAAAATGGATAAATGTGATAATGTTTTATGAATAATTTTTCTGAACCCCCGTGTACAATTGAATAAATTAATTGAACATGCATATTTCTCAAGAATTACGAGGATTTGCAAACGTTTATGAATTTATTAATTTTGAAAGATGAAATTTTGCAACGAGGCACACCTCAATCTCATGAACTTTTATTTGTATCCTTAACTAGTTCGATTCACAAGATTATTGATGACCCTACATAAATTAAAGTTTCACTCACAGAAGTTACATAAAATCGAATATAAAACATGTACAAAGAGAAATTTGACATTAAGACCCCTTTTGTTTCCTATTTTCATAAGAATGAGAATGAAAAATATAGCCGTTATGACCCACACAAGAAATAGAAATTCAAATTTGATGATTTGATATGATAGATAACGATCATATTTTACATTTTAATTGGGGGAGGGGGGGGGGGGAGAAAGGAAAACAAACAAGAACTAAATAACCTTTGTGATATGTTGGACGACTTTTGGCGTTGAGGTAACCTTGCGGTGTGTGGGTGGACTTAAATTGAGCCATATCGTATGTGGTCATCAAAGATATTGGATTTGCATTGTGAAACATTCTTGGTGTTACAATTTATTCAACAACTCTGTTACAAATAATCCTACAAATCAAAGTCTCAACTACAAAAGTTACACAAATCGAACCAAAAAAAATGTATTAAAGAAAATTTTGACATTAATAGTAGAGGCAAAAGGATTAGGCTCGGTTTCATCTAGATTCCACAAAGCATAAAAGTTCTAAAACACCACTACCAAATTCTTCCTTGATAAACGGAAGTATAATTTTAAAATCTTAATAAATCAAGACACTCATTCACGTAAAATGAATCAAGGAACATAAGAGATTTCTTAGAGAAAAATCAACTGGAACAGTCAAGAGAGCTTTTCAGAAGAAACGGGAAAGCATGAGAGGAAAAATTATAATGAATTGTGAGTTAGACAAGCAGTACCTCGTATAAATATAAACAATGAACTAGTATGGACAATGTGAAATCGATTGTACTAAATATTTCTACAATGACAAGTAAAATAATGAGATAAAGATTCCAATCATCCCCTCATATACATACATATGGTAAATAGAAAATGAAACACTAACAATGGAAATTAAGAGCGTCTCTAATTAATTCTATAAATTATTATTGTCTACGTGATATATAAGTTGAAAGACTTCCGATATACGCAACATTGTTTTTAATGAATAGATATTCAAATCCAAATTGGTCTCCAATCTAGATACAATAATATTGTTTATGCGTCTTCCATTTTTTAAAAAATAAAAAAATAAAACTACATCGAAATTTGCATAAAAAAATAAATATTGTTTGAGTCTCACAAAGTTCTTGAATCTATACGGAGCTCTGTATGATGTCCATTTATTTTCCTTGATAGAGTCCAAGTGATTTGTATTGGGGATGAAATACTTTTTAAACATTATATATTTTGCATCTTATTCAGTCACACTCAAAAGATCATAATGGAATTTATACCTTTCCAACTAATACCGCTAACACCAAGGGGGGAACATGGAAAGGCTAAAAGTAAAAGGAGTCCCCAACTTATTTGAGGTGGAGACAAATAGATCTTCATCCTTCAATTTGTAGAAATTGGGTTTCCAATTGAACAATTATTACGGCCTCGTTTGGTACATATTAATATAAAAATGTGAATAAAAAATATAACCGTTATGAACCCTACGCAAGAGATAGAAATTCAAATTTGAATGCTTGATATGATGGATAATGGTCACATTTTTCATTTTAATGAAAAAAAATGAAAAACAAACAATGGCATACATGAAAAATGTCAATTTTAGTAGTCATGTGTTTGACGTTTTTAAAGGCCAAAACGTCAAGCACAACCATCAAAATATTAAAAGAAAAAGAGATTAAAAAAGAACAGGAAACAGGAAAAAGAAATTTATAAAATAAAAAAAATCGCCACAAAATGGTCCGTGTGCGGAAAGTGGCCACTGAGGCCCTATGTGTCAAAAAATCAAAAGATTGGGGACCCCAACTGTAAATTTCCTAAAAGTGGAAACTTGTCAGGAATGTCATCTTTGCAGAAAGCCAAGGAACTGGTGGAAGTTTCATAAGCCACTATAAATAAATAAAGAGATAAAAAGCGCAGAATTTAAAAACAAAAGTAGTTATTCCAAGGTTGTGGATGACATTCACCAGTGTGGAATCAATAAGCTTTAGAATGAACTAAAAATTTAAAGTCTATTTATTCACACGTGTCTACGATTTATATAGGTTAAAAAGGCAATAAAGTTGTACCTCGAAAGCACCGATAAATCTTCCACTTTTTTTGCGAGCAACAATAACATTATTCATAATAGTATTTTTGATAAGTGTTTATGAACGATTTAAATTATGAATAGATAGAAATAAGCGATTGATAAGTAAATAATAAATAAGCGATTGATAAGTAAATAATACTTGTTAATTCTTCGTGATGTGAAGATAGACAGTGACTTCAGCGTTTATATAAAGGAAAATATAAAGGACAACATTAACTTCTGCGATAATCTTAATCGTAACAACACTATTTCCTCAAAAATCTTTAGAACAGAAAGAAACGTTACAGTTACTATTTTGTGGCTATGAAACCAAACTAGTAACCAAGCAAGCATCCAACATACACACTATGCTACCTTTTATCCTTGTAAATATTTTGTTACCTTTGCATTTGCAGTAACTTAGGAGCTCTCGGCATTGAATTTTTCAATGGGAACTTGATGAGTTGATCGACCTACATGTCTTGCTTTTACTTCTATATCGGGAGTTGCTCCAAACGATCCACTCTCATCAGTTAAAAAGCAAATCTTCTGTTACTGTTAATTTAGCAAAATTCATTTTCATCAGCAACACGCCTTTTCAGCTTCTTCAGCAGCCGATACTCTCACGCCAACTCATCTGCATTTTCCACTGATTGAGAAACTCACTCCAGTCTCAAAGCAAATCTTCCGTTCCCGTTAACTTTGCATATTCATTTTCATCAATAGCACCCTTTTTCAGCTTTTTCAGAAGTCGGTACTCTAGTGCCAACTCATCTGCATCTTCCACGGATTGGACAGCACGCCTCTGCTTTGCCGTTTTCTTTCTCATGACTGAGGAAGTAACATTTGAGGCGGCTTTAGACTTCTTCTGTTTTTGTTCTTGCTCCTTCGCAGCTCTCTTTGCTTCTAAGTTTTTCTTTCTTTGCTTCTCACGAGATTTATCCCTAGATGGAAAACTATTTTAAATACAAGGATACAAATGAAAATAAGAGATCCCAAGATCACAATTGGCTGCCATTGTTTTTATGTTGGGTTAAACCTTAAAATGTTCACTTGTAATTTTACTTAAAAGTAAATAAGTTTGTTTCAAAATAGATCAAGGAAGCCAGCCAGTTTTATTTTGAAAAAGTAAATATTACTTGCAAAATAATGAACTTTTCTTAAAACTAAGAAAAAGGTAACTTATCCAAAAATGTTTCAAAACCAAAACTTACTTCAAAATAACTTATTTTTAGGCTTAGCCAAACATGATATATTCAGTCTTCGCTAGCATAATGATACACGCAATTTAAAGCAACTTATAAGTAGTTTCGGAGAATTCACAAACATAAGGCATTGTGTTTAAAATAATTGAACCATAAAAGAATCTGATATTTGTGGAGAATTCATCTTCTCATATGATAGAAAGACGTTCGTCAGCTTTGATATATCCACAGATCATAGAAAAAAAATTCAGAACAGACCCAATCAAAAATATATATTCTTAACTTTGGGGGATTCTAACTAAAGCATTAATTTTCAGCATTTTGATAGAAGATTTAAAAAACTATTTGTTCCTATTCTTTTTTCATAGCAGATTTTCTCTGACTTCTAATGAAATGACTTTTTCTTCGACTTTTCAATAAAGACGAATTTGAACTTCTTTCTTCCTTATAATAGAGAAGGAAGGAAAAAAAAAAAAAAAAAGTCGCTGATCAGCCACACTAGGACTGGGACACAGCCCAGACTCCTAGGGGAGGCAGCAGTGGGGAATTTTCCACAATGGAATGAACTTATAATCATGGAATCAACTCGATCATCAGATTATAAGTTCATAACCCTAGCCCATGGCCATGGCCATGGCCTAAAAGATATTTTAAAGCTCATAAGGGTCCATTTACAGGTCAGGGTCATAAAGGCCTATATGAGATCCTAATGTCATGGATATAATGTGATATGGGCATGTTTGGCAAAAAAGTAGCTTTCTTACAAGCTGGGAGACTGGACCAAAATCCCAACACATCTGGGTTTTAAGCTGTGGGAGACAGTTGAACTGCACAAAATTGTGGGTCTCCCCAAGTTATTAGAAAGCTACTTTTTGCCAAACGTGTCCGGTCATATGTAAAGAAAACTCAACTAGACAATATAATTTGCAATCAATACTTACTTGTACTTGATCTCTTCCAGGTTTATATCTTCGACCGGAACAAAACCCTCAGTAGAAAGAGAATAACGCTTTACCTCAGGCACAGAAGGGAGTTGCAATAAGCCATACCCCATGCCCAACTTCCCAATTTCAAGTTCTTTCCACCTTGGCATAAAAAGACAATTTAGTCACATTACAGAAGTACAAATAAAGAATTTTTTAAATATCTCAAACAACCTGAGAATATAAGAACAGTGATGCTCTTTGTAAGCTCGAATATAAGATACAAAAGCTCTTAGACCTTTTTCCATAATGTTCCGATCTTTTTTCGCAGCTGATCGTATCTGGAAAAGATAATTTTCACCCATTATATTAATAAATAAATAAATTTCTTGGTAAAGAGTATTAATGCAATGTCAATTAAGTTACATAACCAATAAAGATGCTATATTTAATAGTTTTTGGTTAGGAATTGCAACAAACAAAAAGCCATTACACTAAAAACAGTAGATCACATATTTCATAAGCACAAGATATACATGCGTGAGTGGGAACAGAGAGATAGAGTGGAGGCCACCTCTTCAATTTGATAGACATAGCAAACAGATTTGCACATATTAACCAAAGGCCGTTAGGCCAGTTACCATAATTGAATAAACTAGAATTAATGATAGACCAAACGGAAGAGGTAATCATCATTTAGAACGAGGTAAATAATAAGGAATTGGGTCATTGCAGTTTGACTTTGAATATGGTTCTTGAAGGAGTGGAAAAGTAGATGAACATGTGGCATAGGTCTTTCGAGATCAGAAACAAGATATCTCACATCGTCATAAGGAATTACAAGAGCAGTTACATAGGTACGTGCCTGCGTGTGCATGTTTCTGAAAATATGATAAACACTATTACTAATATGCAAATGCGTAGGCACAGGAAAAACAGAAAATAACAGAACATTATCTGAGAAATTATCTCTACCTCATCTATTATTATGGCATGGAAAAAGTGTCAACAATGAATGCCTATAGGCTATAGCCCCATCATTTCATTCAGTCATATAAAAACCGAAAGAAAATATTCCATAGAACACATGCATTCACTTGGCCATACAACAGAGAAAATTGAAGTGACGTAAAATTATGATTTACAATTAAATAAAGTGCGGTCTTCACCAGAGGAATAATATCAGGAGCCTCATCAGAGCATTTTCTCTCTTCAAGTGGAACTCCTCTTCTCCGCAGGAACTCAACATATGCTTCCTCCTATGTGATATACGAAAAAGATCATAGTTCAAGTAGCACCAGAAACACTTTGCCATAATGTAATACAAAATTTAATCAACCGGAAAAGACCATTTGTAATCATATCTGTAAAATTCAAACCTTTGGCATCAGGAAAACAATGGCACTTCCTTGACGTCCCATCCTAGCAGTTCGACCAACTCTGTGTATAAACACATTCGGGTCCTGAGGCAGGTCATACTGCAAATAGAACACATGCAACAATTAGATGCTGTTAAAGGTCAGGTAGAAGATTAGAGATGATTTATTAAGAATCAATTATTATTACCCTCGGTTTAAATTGAGTTTTGATGCAATGCTGATAGCATCTACTTTTTAAGTGTCATAAGCATCTTACTTTTCATCCCATAATGTAAAATACTCATATAACAATGACTCCTCCTATGATTAAACACAGTCTTAGCAGTAAAACAAACAAATTTCCTTGCAGCTATCAATTCCTCCATATTCAAGTTCCTTAATTACAATATCCTTTTCTTAGAATATTTTCCCTTTTCTATTTTATCAACAAATTCGCTAAAATAGAAACGCGAAGTAAGCAAGGATCAGATGCTTAGTCAGTTCATATTCATTCAAGCAGAAAGAAAATTACATGCATCAGATTGTTAGACTCGTGAGATGAACATAATTGAAAGTACGAAATTTTTGCTTCGCAACTCCAGCATCCTATACAATAAAAATAATAGACAGACAGTCATAACAGCTTTCACTAAACTACCTGTACTATACAGTCAACGCCAGGAATGTCAAGTCCACGGGCTGCCACATCAGTGCAAAGAAGAATGCCACTGGAAAGAGATGTAAAAGATGCTAAAGCTTTTTCCCTTGCAGCCTGCAATTCACAACGTTGGAAAATGTATTTCACAGATAAACGCGGAATTTGTCATGTACAAACTTTTCAGGATAATATTCAAAATAACCTGCTTCATTTGTCCATGAAGAGAGATTAACGTGAATCCCTTTAAAGAAGAAAGACGTGGAAGTACAACATCCCAGTAATCGACGGAGGCACAAGTCATGAAATAGCTGCAAGAGTACAGAGATCAAATAACCACACAAGATCTCTTAATTTTTCGACTTTCACTGCAAGAAACGCAGTTACCAAAATAGAATCCTTAACTCACATTATAAATTTTTTTGTCTTGTTCTTAGTTAGAAGATCAATGAGCTGTGATAATTTCTTGTCTGCTTCACATTCAAGATACTGCAGATTTTATAACCATGGAGAGTGCAAAGCACCATTAGGTTTAAGATATTTCAAACATTTATAAAATCAAATTATGAAGGGTAAACTTATAATTGTGCACAATCTAAAAAAAAAAAATGTACCTCAATGTGAAGTCCCGAAGGTGTTTTCGAGGCGGCAAGTTGCTGTGAGGATGTCGATTCATTCAATCTTTTTACTTCAGCTCGAACTTCAACCCTCACAGGGTTCCTTAACCCTGCCTTCGATAGCTCTTCAACTGCCTCAGTTTGAGTGGCAGAAAAGAGACCAGTTCTACGTAGCTTCGGTAAGCGAGATATAATCGAATTTATCTGCTTTTGGAATCCCATATCTAATAGCCTATCAGCTTCATCCAAAATCAATATCTGTTCACCAAATCCCATTATAATTTTTTATTTATTTTTTTTTTTTTTTAAACAGTACAATTCAAATATCACTAGATCTTCATGGTTGAGAGAGATTTATATGCACCTAAAGAAAAAGGAAGGAAAAGAACCCCTCAAAACTAAAGGAAAAAAGGGAAAGAAATAAGTTTAGTACAAACAGTCTTAACCTCGACCAACAAGAGAAAGTATGTAACAAAGCATCATTGTTTAACACTGTTTTCCCAATCTCTTTCAAGATGTGCCTCTTTATATTTTCATTAGTAGGGGAAAGAAAATAAAAAAAAATCAATTTTACTCACATTTTCACACCTGGCTACCAAGTACATAGATTTAAAGTTTCATAAACTATTTAAATATAAATAAACACCATACAAAATATCAAGATTTTCATAAATTCTTCATTGCTTTTGCTCAAAAGTTCGAAGAATTATCTACATTTAACTTTAGCTCATTTTTCACCCTCTAGATTCATTGCTCAACAAATACTGTTTTCAGTACTAAGCAATTCCATTTACCATTTCCAGTTTTCTCTGATTTATTCAAATTTGAACTGTAGGTATGTCTATAATGTCCTATAAAAATGATCTAACTACTTCACAAGCACCATATGAATTTTCAAGTCTCAACGCCATAAAATTATAATGAGATCAATCAATTGATGAATGCCTGCTATTTATGGTTCACAAAGAGTGAAATCATAACTTTCTCTGAGTTTAACAAGATACAAAACAACAACGACAAATTGAGGTTCCTAATAAATTGGAGTATGTGACATATATCCTTTTTTGCCATGCCATTCTATGTTTAGCTAGATTTACTGGAAGATTCAAAAGGAACTAAAAATTTAGCAACCAAAATTAACCACATTATTGTTAGTCTTGCCTCCCTCTTCTAACATCTTCTAATGTGATTTCATCACTCCTAGACCTACGCAAAATATTCCTAACCAACTCGGACGTCCTTACCTTGGATTAATCATCAATAGTTGCCACCACCAATAAAATAATTTATACAATGAGTTGCCAAAAAGTATAAGAAACAATAATCTAAAACACATAACATATTTAAATGCAGAGAAGCATGAAATCTAAGCACTTCGTGTGAGAGAAAAAATGATTCACCTCAAGGTTGCGAAAGTCCAATATGTCCATGCGTTCCATAATATCATACATTCTTCCAGGAGTCCCAATCAACAAATTTGCACCTTTGTCTTCTATTTTCCTTATATCAGCTTTCACTTCCACACCCCCTACCAAAAGCATTGGCCTCACATTCGACAATGTTGAAATAAACGGCTCTGCGACCTTAAATATCTGTGAAGACAACTCCCTTGTTGGCGAGATAATTATTCCCATCACCTGTACCCATAAAAACAAGTAAGCTAACTAAAGAAACAGAACAAAGTATCATCTAAACATAATAGTAATGATTTTCTTTTACAATAAAACACTGTATACATGTAATCTTCAGTTCTCTTTACATCCCAACATCAGACTTGCATAACGCAAATTTATCGAATTGACTTTTTTCCTAAAAAAAAAATTACTTAATGCATTTTATTTAATTTTATTATCATATAAACTCTCGGAAAACATTGAACGCACAAAAATACAACATAAAAAGTTAATAACAGCATAATTAATAAAGTAGACAGATTCAATTAAATTTACAGTAATAGCAGCATAATTAATAAGCAAGACGCTAATTTGTGAAAATTTATGTGTATACGTAACCTGATGAGGTTTAGGAGGGGCAGAAGAGCGGCGGAGGAGCTCGACGAGGGGGACGACGAAGGCAAGGGTTTTTCCGGAACCGGTAGCAGCGTCCACGGCTACGTCTTTGTAGCTGCAGAGCAACGGTATGGTGGCAGCTTGAACCGGCGTGCAGAACTCGAAACCGGCGGCGGTAAGGGCTTCCAGGACAGGTTCTGATAGCGATGGGTTCAGGTCCGAGAACCGGGTGCTTGTTAATGCTTTGTTCGAGTCAATGACGTCCGACATTATTGCAGCTTGGGTAGAAAAATGGCTTTTCCAATTCCAATTAACGTTCAATTGAGATTGTAGGGTTTATGAGTTCATAGCGATGTTTACGATTATCGAATATTGCAGTATTGGTCATCCACTTATTATTTGAGTGGTAATTTGGTCTTCGACTTTTGAAAAGGAGCAAGTGGTTCCCCAACTTTTCATTATCACAATTCGTCCCCAATTATTGGAAAAGTTGCTACATGTACATCACCTTATGCATTAGTTATGACAGCCCTTTCACATATAGGGGTGGGGCTCATGATTGTTTTAATCACGGGCCCACCTCTGTGAGAGGGCTATAAAAATTTATAGCATTTATATGCTGTATCCAAAAAATAATAATAATAATAATAATAATTGAAATTGAAATATTTTCAATAAGGGTCAATTAATAATTTACTGAAAATATAGAGAATTTATATTATTGAGATGTGATTGGTGCATATATAACAAATGGTTAATGATCAATCTACTCTTTTTAAGGATTTTTTAAAGTTAATATAGGCTAAATGACGGTTGATTCTAGATGTATTCAAGATTATTCTAGAATATTGCCGAGGCAATCCTTTTTTCTTTTTATTTTTTTATTTTTTATTTTTTATTTTTATTTTTTAGATTTGATTGTTAAGAGTTTGTTATGACAACGGTCTTAGTCATTTTGCACGTGTGTTTACATAAATTGTATTTCATCCTCTATCAAGGGAATAATATTCAAAAATATATCTTTACTAATTTATCTATTATCAAATCTTGGTTTTAGTTTCAGAGCTCAAAACTAGTTATGTCGTGGTCCAAAGTCATCCTCGGACAATTTGATCTGGATGATAGGTAGGATTGATCAACTGCATTTACTCTTAAAAGCCAAATTATCAAAGAATATTGTCCTTGAAAGATCTGATCTATATGTTGATTTATAAATATAGGGAACTCATTAGAGACCACAAAAAGATCAAGCGAAACATTCCCTCAAATGGGTTGATGGTTAAAACTTGAAAATTTAAATGATTGAATTTCCACACTTAAGGTCCAACAATACATCACCTCCAAAATACCAATTAAAATAGAGCCTGCTCGAACGTTGCGTTCACCGCCTTATATCCCATGACTATTATTAAGATGTTATGGTCTAAGTAGACAAGCTAGTTACCAGGTCATGTTAACATTGTTACGGCACATCTTGTTACTGCTGAGAATTTACTTAATCATGCACAGCAAAAATAAAACAAATTTCAATTCCCATCAAATATTTGCTTTGTATTTAAATAGAAATCGTGATAAAAATTATACCTTTGTTGAAATATGCAAACTTCTTTGCTTTGCTTTTGTTCCAACAATCTTGATCCGCAACCACAACTATCCAATTGTTTAACCTCCAATAGAAATCCACACAGGAAACAAGATTGAGAGAGAACTAGGATTTTACTTTTCTTGAGCTAAAAAGAATAATGAAAAATCTCTATAGCTTTTAAACCTTAACAGCTTATTTATATAAGCTCCAATGGGCTTGACCCATCTTTTAACCCGATTCAATATTTAATTGACTCATTTAATTAAATAAAAGTCCATGAATTAATTAATCTAATTAATTAATCAGCCTTATTAACAAGCAACCCAATTAATTAATTATCCAATACTTATTAATTAATTAATTAGTAAATCTTATTCTTCTAGTTCTCCTTTTGTGTGTAACCCATTAATTTTTCAATTATGATGCCTAACGATGTGAATTATTATTTTGATCCAATCAAAATTAATAAATTAAAGTACCCCACTTTAATTAATCACTAATTCACATGCGACGTCACAAATTAACATCTAGCAATGTGTTGGACAATACATGCGATGGAAAATGTCACGTGGTATGATAAAATCAAACTTGTTCATTTACCGTGAAACTATAATTCATTCGTCAATATAATTTGATGAATTACGAGATATGGATAAGTGTTAATCTTAATTATTGATCATATTTTTCATTCCACTATTAAGTTAATACAAGTCAAAAAACTCTTTTTTTGGACTTATGAATACACCTTGACTAAGGATTTCGTTATCAATTTAATTGAATGAAATGTAAATCATAATCTTTTACTATCTAAAAGTGATGAATCATATATCGATCAGTCACAGCTTTCATATAATTCTTAACATACGCGAATGATGTCATATTAGCGACCCTTGGTAGATTGATATCTAATATCACCAAAGTATAACTGTCTTCATATATGGCACTATGATGACCTCAAGTCAAATGATCAATTTCGCTATCAAATGATCAATTTCACTATCAAACGTTAAAAGTTAACCACTGACACTCAAATAGTTATTCATGTGAAATCTCCCAACATGTCTTACAATCACAAATCCTTATGATTAGCAAATTACCAAAATTTAAATCTACGGATTGTATTATTTAATGGAATTGAATATTAATCAAATAATAGATTTGTCATAAAATTACATTAACTATATATTAAAAGTGCTTATATTCAAAGTTGATTGGACCTAAAGCATAACACTTACAGTTATGTAACAAAGGTCAAGATGAGATGAGTAGGACCACATTCAAGCTACTAGATTGACAGCCCCACCCCCTTATTCCCCTTTAAATATGAGATAGGAAAATGAGACCAATATACCAATCTTGCTATCTTCCCATCACTAAATGCAATAAAGAAAATCAAGAGACTACACACTTACCAAGGATTTTTCCTTTTTCATTTTTAAAGTTTGCTTAATTACTATATTTCACCCATTAGTCAATCCAAAGGTACCACGTCACATTTTGAACATCATAACAACTTAATCCATGTATACAATCAATGGTATTGATCATTATCCACCAACCATCCGAGTTGTCTCAAGAAGATCAACCAATCAACCTAGCTATAAAAACACTTCATTTAAATTCTCAAATCTACTTAATATTTGATTATTTATACAGATTTTTAATAATATTAGTGTATATATTATTTTTCTAGGTAAAAATCCAAACTTAAATTTGAATAAAAGGGAAAATGTATAGAGTTGAGCGTTATATTGACCAAAGGATAAAATATTCGAGTATTGAAACTTGGATATAAGGAAGATGGGTAAGAAATTTAAAAAGAAATTCAGATGTACCAATGTGGTCGGAAGTAATAATAAAGATGTGAAGTGATCGATCAAACACTGAAAGGCAAGAAGAAGCGAAATGAAGAACCTATGTGTAGATTACGTGAGGAAATTACTTCATAAAGTTTGGTATAAAGATATTCATAGGGAAAATAATATACTATTGAAAAGATAATTGAATTTGAGTCCAAACAAAATACGGATTGCAATTAGGAGTTGTCGACCAAAAGTTATACGCACTTAAAAGGTTCACAGACCAAAGCTGCTAATTTTAGACGATTACACATTCCAGGAAAAAAGGGACTGCAGTCGCTGCTAAGCATATTGTGACGCAACCGCAAAGTTTTAAAGGGGATTTCTCCACTAGTTGTCACTACTAGTGGACAATATAAAAAGAGAGTTTAACCTAAACAAAATGGAGATTCCATACTGTAATAGAAAATCATTGAGAGAAATCCATATCAATACGCACAATTCTTGGAGCAAAATAAAAGAGATTTTTGGAGGCTTGAGATGATTTTGAAGAAAAAGAAGGTGTTGTTCGGGATGTAAGTGTTATACTCTAGATCCAATCGATTTAGGTTGTAAACACTTTTGATATGTTTGATGTATTTAATTTTGGCAAAATCTATTATTTATTTAAATTAATTTTCTGATAAATAATATTAAATAATAGAGTCTGAAAATTCAAGTTTAAGTGATTTGTTAATCATGAGGAGTTGTGATTGTGAGATACAAATTACGTATGATTGGATCTTGAATAATTCGTGGTCATAAATAATAACGAGATACGGATATCGTTATTACAGATAGACCATCATGTGTGACATTTCCTACTTCTGAAGTAAGTAGTTGATCTCACAAGCTAAAGTGTGGTGACACTTAAATGAACACGTGGATATTTTGTTATAAAACAAAACATTGGAGACCTGCTAAGAGATTCAATATGGATGACTATCTGAGTGTCAATGGTTAATCTCTAGGGTTTGGTAGTGGAATTTGTCCTTTGACTTGAGGTCATCATAGTGCCTTGTATGAGGACAGTCATGCTTTGACGGTGTTGGATGTTGCTCTACCAAAAGCCGCTAATACGACATCGTTCGGGTATATCAAGAACCATATGAAGATTGTGAATGACTAATAGAGTATTCATCACTCTTAGATAGTAAGAGACTGTGATCTGCATTTCGTTCAATTAAATCAATAACGAAATCCTTGGCCAAGGTGTACACATAAGTTGAAAATGAGTTTTCGACTCATATTGACTAAATAGGAGAATGAAAGATATGATCGATAATCGAGATTGACACGCTTTCATATCTCGTAATTGATCGGATCATGTTGACGAAGGGATTATAGTTTCATGGTAAACGAACATGTTTGGTTTTGTCATGCCACGTGCCATTTCTCATCACATGTATTGCCCTGATACATTGTTAGATGTCAATCTAGGACGGTGAGTGTGAATTTATGATAAATTAAAAGGGTGTTTTAATTTATCAGTTTTGATTATATCAAAATAATATTTCACGTCATTAGGCATCGTGGTCGAAAACCTGATGGGTCGCACACAAAAGAGAATTGGAAGATTACAATTTGTCAATTAATTAATTTAACAATCGTTGAATAAATTAATTAATTGGATTGGTTATTTATAGCATCGAATTAATTATTTGGATTAATTAATTCACGGACCGAATTTAATTAAATGGATTAATTAAACATTGAACCGGACCACGTCGAGCCCGTTTGGGCTTATATAAATACATGGCTAGGGTTTTAGATCCATAGAGTTTTCATAATTCTTGCTAGCACAAAAGAAGAAACCCTAGCAGTTACAGTTTATTCTCTGTGTGGAATTCATTGGAGGCTGGACAATTGGACAGTTGTAGAAGGCAGATTCAAGTTGTTGGAACAAAGATA